CCTGGAGGCATTGGAAAGAAGATTTTGAAGACTATTTGGAAGCCCTTCGATACAGTGATGCGCCAGAGAAAACAAAAACTGCACTATTCCGTCATTTATGTGGAGAAGAATTGAAAAAACAGCTACGAGCCTTCGACCTTAAGCCTAACGATGGTTGTGAGGGTGTGACTCTGCAACAAGTGCTTCAGGAATTTGATAAATATTTTCTGGACTATCAAAACGAAATTTTTGCTTCTTTTAAGTTCTTGGAAATAAAACAGGAACAAGGAGAAAAATTTACGGACTATTATTCTAGGCTTCGTAATGCTGTTGTTGAATGCAATTATGGCGAATCGCAGGACCGCATGCTACGTGATAAAATCATTCAAGGACTGTTAGATAAAGCACTTCAGGAAAGATTAATCAGAGAAACCAGTAAAAAGGCCAAAACACTACAGGAAGTAGTTAGTGAATGCAAAACCGCTGAGAACAGTAAGGTACAAGCATCAGTTATGAATGAAAAACTTTCAGTGAATGCTTTAAAGAATTTTAGAAATTATCGGAATCAAAGCAAGAATAATCAGAAAAATAAGGTTAATTGCAAGCAATGTGGGAAAATTCATGAGAAGAAGAAATGTCCTGCATATGGTACAAAATGCCGAAATTGTGACGGAAGAAATCACTGGGCAAAAATGTGCAGAACTCAAAGAAATAAACAGAAAAACGTGGCTGCTCGAAGAGTGAATGCAATTGAAGAAAACTGTGAGAATTCTGAGACTATTTACATTGGGGAACTGAAGTCAGTTAATGAACTGGACATGAAAGAAACCAACTGTGTGTGGTATGAGAAAATTTATGTAAATAAAAATCCTGTAATGTTTAAACTGGATACTGGATCTCAAGTGAATGTAATTCCCAAATCAGAACTCTTAAAATGGGAAGAAAAGCCAGCAGTAAGAAAATGCAAAACTGCTGTGCTTGACTACAGTGATAACAGAGTTCCAATTCTAGGTGAGTGCTACCTCAACTGTCAAACTAAAAAGTATAGAAAAACTTATAAATTTTTAGTAACAAGTTTAAATTCATGTCCAATTTTAGGCCTTGAAGCCTGTAGAGAATTAGGGCTGATTCAGAGATTGAATATGATCTATAAAAGCCCTATTGAAACTCCAGAATTAATTTTGAAAGAATTTGCTGATGTTTTTACGGGAACAGGAAGACTTAATAGAATTGTAAAAATTAAATTAAAAGAAAACTCTGTTCCTCATGTAGCAGCCCCTCGAAAAGTGCCTCTTGCTATACATAACAAAGTTAAAGAAGAACTAAATAATATGGTAGAAGCAGGCATAATAAGCAAAGTTGAAGAGCCAACTGAGTGGGTGAGCAACATGGTTGTAATCGACTCACCTAAGAAATTAAGGATTTGTCTTGATCCCAGGCCACTGAATGAAGCTATTCAAAGACCTCATTACCCAATCCCTACTGCAGATGCACTTGTTACAAAGCTGCAAGGTGGTAAAGTGTTTACTATTCTAGATGCAAAAAATGGGTTTTGGCAGTTACCATTAGATGAAAAATCTTCATATCTAACCACATTTTGTACACCTTGGGGGCGGTACAGATTTTTAGTATTGCCGTTTGGTCTGAACTCTGCTCCTGAAGAATTTCAAAAGGCAATGGATGAAATTTATGAAGAAGATGAAGATATAAATCCTTACTTTGATGATATTGCACTGGGTTCATCTACAGTGGAAGAGCACTGCAGATTATTACGTCGAACACTCTTGAAAGCAAGAAAGGCCAATTTAAAATTTAATGAATTGAAAACGCAGTTGTCACAAACGTCAGTTAATTATCTGGGTCATGTTTTGTCAGATGAAGGAATAAAACCAGATCCCAAGAAAATTAGAGCCATTGAACAGTTTGCTACACCAAACTGCAAAGAAGATTTGCAAAGATTTCTAGGTATGGTAACATATCTAGCTAAATTTACACCACACCTATCAAATTTAACGCATAATCTAAGGCAGCTTCTAAAAAAAGATTCTGTGTGGATCTGGGATGCAAACACAGAGAGGGATTTTGAGCTGATAAAACAAGCCATAATGAAATCTCCCTGTTTGAAATATTTTGACAAAAACAAAGAAGTAACTGTTTCTGTTGATGCTAGTAAAAATGGACTGGGAGCTGTGCTTCTTCAAGAAAGTCAGCCAGTAGCCTATGGATCTGTATCATTAACACAGACACAACAACGTTATGCTCAAATTGAAAAGGAGCTAATGGCTGTGATATATGGGTTGGAGCATTTCAACTATTATACTTATGGAAGGATTGTCACAGTACAGACAGATCACAAGCCAATACTGGGCCTTAGTAAGAAACCATATGATACAATATCTCCTCGTCTTCAACGTATGTTACTTCGACTCAATAAATATAATATTCAGTTGGAATATGTTCCAGGAAAGAACCTAGTTATAGCAGATGCCCTATCAAGAGCACAATCAACCACTGATAAATTTGATGAAGTTCTAGGCCAGGAGGCAACTGTAAGAATAAATCTGTTAACACAAGCTTCACCAACTAAGTGGGAGGAAATAGCAAAAATGACAACAGATGATCCTGAAATGCAAGATGTGTTGTTTCACATTAATAATGGATGGCCAGAGAAAAGGAAAACCAAAATAGCTGCGCAACCTTATTGGCATTGCAAAGAGGAGTTATATGCCACAAAAGAAAGAATTATTTGCAGAGGACAGCGATTAGTAGTACCAGTAAAATATAGAAAAGAAATATTGAAACTATTACATTTGTCACACAAGGGTGTAGTTTCCAGTAAAATAAAAGCCAAAGAATATTTTTATTGGCCTAATATAAATAGAGATGTTGAGGAATATGTGTCCAAATGCATAATCTGCCAGAAATATCAAAGAGAAAACCAGAAAGAAATTCTTATCAATCCAGAAATTCCAGGCAGACCTTGGCAAAAAGTTGCATGTGATTTCTTTTGTTTAAAAGGCAAAGAACATCTGCTAATGATAGATTATTTGTCCAAGTATGTTGAACTGAAACCACTCAACAGTACAACAGCCCAATCTGTCATTACAGTCATGCAACATTTGGAAATCCATTTATGCAACACATGGAATACCAGAAGACCTTGTGAGTGATGGTGGACCACCCTTTAACTCAAATTTGATGACCAATTTCTTCCGAGAATGGGGTATTAAACATCATGTTACACCGCCTCATTTTCCTAGAGCAAATGGACAAATAGAGAGAGCAGTACAAACAGTAAAAAATTCTCTTACTAAAGCTGCAGACGAGGGAAAAGATTTGTATATTGTATTGCTTGACTACAGGATACAACCAGCAAAGGACATGCAATCCCCAGCTGAATTATTAATGGGAAGAAAGCTAAGAACTTTCCTGCCATCACATCCAGATCAATTAAAACCAATATTTGATGTTGAAAGAGCAAGAGAAGCTTTGAGGAAAAGGCAGATAATTCAAAACAAATATGCTAATAAGCATGCAACAGTGTTGCCAGTGCTACATCAAAATGCCAAAGTATGGTTTAAGCATAAAATGAAAAAGCCTTGGAAGCAAGGGACTATAATTCAAGGAGGTCCTCAACCTCGCTCATATATAATACAAGGAGAGGATGGAGGTGTTTTCAGGAGAAACAGATTCCACATTTGACAAGATTACACTGAAGATGATAATCCATGTTGGTCAAGAACTGTAGAAGATCTCTATAACAGTGATGCTACTGAAATCTCTAGAATTCCAAACAGTTCTGCTGACAGTCAAGTAAATGCATCACCTAAAACAAACAAAAGCAAAATTAACCAACAACTGCAAGTTCCAATTGAAAACTGTAGTGAGCAGAGCAATCCTGTGGTACGGAAATCTTCAAGAAATATTGTGAAGCCTGTTCGCTATAGAGACAATTGAAGGAACTGTGACAAACATATTTTAGTTCAATAGTTAATCTCAGAGTTAAATTTAAATTAAAACTATAACTTTGTAAAACAGTTCAGATAAGTTTTGTTGTCCATAACAAGAGATGGTATTGTATTAAGTAAATTTTAAAATAAGTAATTGTATTCATTGTTAAGTAATTTAATTCATTGAACTCGATATTTTGTAAAAAAAAAAGGGGGCATGTTAGATATTAGTTTTTAGTCTATTTAATAGATGGCGCCACATGTACTAAAGTTCTTGTTTATATTATGTAAACTTGTAGAAGGACGCCATTCCGATGTAGTACGTGAAGCATCACGTAACCTATGCTAGTAAAATAAAGAATATCTTAAATGTATACTGTGGTCCTGTACATTATATTATACCGCAGACAAACGGCCTTGAATATTTCATAATTCGTCATCACTAGTGAAATATTTGCTTATTTCTACAGTCATACAATTATTTTTCCTTGTACTTTGTTCGAACTTCGATGAAAAGTAGAAAATGAGATTACTAGCTTTTCTTTCTATACACATGAAAAAATTATTATATTTATTTCATCCTGAAAGCTTGTTGATAAAGAGATGAATATAGTAAGAACAGTTCATAACCATTTTTTTTTTTTTTTAAATCTATTAATACGATTAGTATTTGGCGGAAAAAAAGACATAAATCAGTTCCATGAAAGACTTCCGTAGCGTTCTAATTTATCACTAATTTTGTAATTTGAAGACAATGAATCAGAATTTTTTTTAAATTTTTATACCGCATTTTCAATTAAACTATTTTATAATATCTGAAATCTCTAGTAATTGTGAAAAAAGAAAAAGAAATAATATGCATAGCTTATTTAATGCGTTTGATTAAGTAAACAAACTAATTGCCAAATTTCGAAGGCTCGGTGGTCTAGGGGTATGATTCTCGCTTAGGGTGCGAGAGGTCCCGGGTTCAAATCCCGGCCGAGCCCAAAGCTGGATTTTTGCTTTTTCCCTATTTCTCATTGCATTAATTAAAAAATGAAAGCTTTAAAAGTTTTAAAAGAGTTTAAATATTGGCCTCGGTCGGGACTTGAACCCGGGACATCTCGCATCCTAAGCGAGAATCATTCCCTGGACTACCGAGCCAATAAGTGTCCGGAATTAATATCTTTACTGAATCGAAGGCAATAAAATTTTGCACAATTGTTTGCTCTAACAAAATAATGGTTAAAAGGATATATAAATTTTTTAGTTTTCCTTTCATTCACCAAATCTTTAAACGGATTTAAAAATAGAGTATATAAATACATATATTTTTTTACAAATAAATGCATCTCAAAAACCATATTAAGAATTGCTATACGAATTCTTTGTACTATATTCTTGAGCTATTCCTTCGTATCAAAAAAATTTCTAGATCATTTTATTTTACACATTAGATAAACAATAATTGTTCAAGTTTTACTCAAATGACAAAATTTAATTTTGAAAGAAAAATTCTTACAAGTACTATGCAACGTTCCAAAACTTCTATGTGGAATTCATGTTTTGGTATGAAATGTTCCCACCGGGACTTAAACATATTTAAAAGAAGAAAAAAAAGTTTAAAAATCAAAATTGCTTTGAACAGTTTTAAGGAGTAGAAATTATGAAAATTATGCCAATTATCAAATGATGTTATGCTATTGAAAATAGTGAGGGAAAAAAAGCATCTGAAAAATTTAATTAGTTTATATTAAGCATTCTTCATGAAGATATTCGCATTCATATTGTATTAATTTTGAATCAATAACCATTATCTGTTAGAACTGCATTTCAATTTTCTAGCTAAACTACTTCTTTAGTTATCAACATTATCCAAGCATTTTTGCAATGGAGCATGTTTAATCAATGAGCTTTATAATTAATTTTATACAATTGTTCGGTTTTAATGTTAACAGTCTTAGCGACTAAAAATTTTTATTTTAACTTAATTGGTTATTATTGACTAAATTGTATTAAATTTATCTTCACTAGCTTGTTATTTTCTGGATTATTGCAACATTAAATTGGATATTAGGTATCAATTTTCTTTCTTATTTTTGCTTGGTGAGATATTAATCCTTGGCTATATATATATATATCTTTTCATCTTACAGTAAAACTTTTTTTTTCTCATAGTTTCGTTCGTAAATGTTAGTAAACTCTCCAATTAGAGCAACAAATGTAGTAATTGATATTTTTGAAAATTATTTTCCTTCCCAGAAAAATATTATTTCAGAGAGAAACTTATAGAGTGAAAATAATCTCACCTAGAAATATATCCCTTGCACAAAAAATATCAGCTAGTAATATATTTCTTTTGGTGTCTTTAATGAACAATGATAACATATTCCACAAAAAGTCTAATTGTTTCCCCCTTCAGATATATATATTTTTAAATTTATAACAAATCCACATAATTCATTTTTTAACAGTGGATCGCTTAAAAAATTATATCATGGTTTACAAAAAATTTTTTTGGTAAAGTCATTTTAATTACTTTTTTTGAGAAAAATATATGTATGAAAAAAAACTTACATTATCTTTTTGAATCAAGCCAGGAAATAAATGGATGAAAGTAACTTCTTGTTGAACCAGTAGACCTAGTTTATGACTAACATGTTTTGAGTTTGTTTTGCATGACTCAAGATAATCGTACAACTCTCAATATTTATTTAGCTGATTGTCCTGATCAAATAAGTATATAAGATGAAGCATCTGATTAAATAAACAATGATTTGAATATTTAATGCCACAATATTGAAATAAATAACGTAATGAAGTCTCAAATGGCTATATTTCAATTATTTCTATAAAATAATTTTGACATTAAATGATACTTTGAATTCCATCTCTTATTAATACTTTATTTTTCGAATTTAATCTCTATTTTATCTATTTATGTTCTTTTTTAAAGATTTTTCCTTAACACTGTTTCATTTCTCTTCAACTGATATCGTATGCTTGTATCAATTCTCGAAATAAATTTTTTACTTTTGCAAATAATTGATGCAAGATCAATATAAACAAATTTTTATTATTCAAAAACTTACCATTATTAATTTCTGTATAAAAATAGGAATGATTTTAATATAAATTTGATTTTGGAAATTTTTTTTGTTGGAAAGAACCTGAAAATAAAAGCATTTAAAATATTTTTGCGAGCACAAAAACATTACTTAAAGCACAATATGAAATATGAATGCATCAAAATTGTCATTGAGAAGAGGCATTAAAATTAACCTGAGAATAATCACTTAAAACGAATCTAATTCAACTGTTGCCAAAATGTTGATTCATAAAAATTTAACACTTGTTTTAAAAAGTTAAAAAATTAGTAATAAAGTTAAAAAAAGTTATCCAAAGCAATGTAATTTCGAATCATTTTTTACATATCATTAATGTATAAAAACGTAAATCTTGATCTATAAGAACTATCAAATAAAAACAAATTTCTGGAACAAATAGTGATTATAACCATTATTTTCCAATATTTTTGATTTTATACATTTTAATTATATTTATTTCTTTTAATAGGCTCTTTCGCAAATACGATAAAAAGGTAAAGTTAATATTAATTAAATCTTTAACGAATTTCTGAAATTAGAGATGTGATTATACTTATACATGATTACGTTGGAAATACAAAGATTATCAATACTTTGAGTCAATAAGACTTCCCATTTAAAGTCTGGGAAATTTTTTAAAATTTCGAAAGATTTTTTTACTCAAAGTATAATTTACTGTTTAATGTATACACATCACTCTCGGATTTGAATCATTCTTCGAGTTTCTTTTATTTCTAATTTATTACAATAGATGGCGACACGTCACAAATAACTTTTTAATTGTTCCTTGGATTAATATAAGAAAAAGATGTTCATTTACTAACATTTATAAATACAATACAATGACAAGGGTTGAAAAATGAGTTATGAATGAGGTTGACCATGATGTAAGCCGCATTGAATTGGCTAAGCAGTTGTTTTAATCTTTATTCAATTTTTGCTTTCAAGGGTACTAAAAGGATCCCAAATATTATTAGATATTTCCATTTTTTACTATATCTGGATGAAATAGATTGTTCATTGATACATGATGGACCAAAAAGGTTTTCACACTGCCGAATAAAATTAAAATTCTTTTATGGACAAAATGTTTTTAAGAAATCATCCATGACAACACAAGACTTCCCGTTCGAATATTCCTTTCACCAGCATAAAGTTCTCACTGATAAATTATCATTTTAAATTAAAACATTTTGTTGTTATTTTTTACAATTTTCAATCTTTTTACATTACACTTATTATTATATACTTAGCTTTAAGGAAAGTTTGAATTTTCAGAGTATCCTATGTTATTAGGCTTTTAAAAGACAGATGCTTTAATTTATTAATTAGGACACTACCAATAGAATAATAATGTTCAGACCTGCTCATAAAGCAAAAGTTTGGCGAATGAGACTTCTCAGTTATAAAACAAATAAATTATTTGCTCACTTGATAAATAAAAATTCTTCCTGGGCCCATTCCTTAAAAAATTATTTTCCATTGATCTTGGTAACGTGATAAAAAAGTTTTTGGAAATTTAAATAGGTTTAGAAAAACTCTAATTAGTCTTTCAAAAATATTGATGGCTCTGTTTAGAATGAATATTTTTTAAGTAAAAAATCTTTTTAAAAAATTTATCGCACCCTTAAATACTTTAAACTGACTTTACAATGTTCTCTGAAACGTGCGTGATCAGCTTGACATCCTTATATTTAGTTTGATTACTATTTTGAACATCAGATGGCACCACGAAAAATTTTGCTGTTGATTTTTGATGTCATAAGTTATTGATGTAAAAATGAAATCAAAGTTGAACTTGTGGACCACAATTTTTTTCCCACATCACGCCATATGAAGCATTAATAGCTATATATTCAACTGTTGAGTCTGTTATTTACCTCAGCTCCAATTTGTGGAAAAGATTTTCTGCCTCTCCAAGCTGATTTTTTTCATTATTTGAAGCAAAAACTATGTATATTTTAATGCGAAATGGGAATTTAAAAATGTACTTTCAAAAATTCTGTAATCTTCCTCAATGATCAGTGCCTAATTCACAATTTCATACATTGATTTTCAGGTACTTAATTCCAAAAATGGTGCGAATTAATAATGAAAAGGAGTTTCCTCTCTAGAGAACAATCTCTCTCTTTTGAAATATTCGTTATTAAAAGAAAAGCAATTAATTCACTTGTTCTTCAAATTCCTTAAATTTGTTTATAGTTCTTCAAAATATTTAAAGTTGTTTCTTTAAATTAATTATTTTAGAATGAAAAAGAGAGAGAGAAAATTACACACAAACTTCATGAAAATAAGACCTTTCATAACAATAATTCTAAACTATTTGTGCACAGTGAACCTCTCTGTCGGACTCTTCCTCTAAAGGACCTCTTTTTTAAGGATGCATGAATGTGTGACAGACTGAATTCATAAAATAAAATTAGAAATGAAATTAGATAATGATTTAATAAATAAACAGCTTAATGAAGAAAAATATGTTTTTTTCTTTTAGCATAGTCAATAAGGATGAAAATATGTCCGAGTTATTGACGTTTTATCAATGTATAAATAACAACAATTATAATAAATTACAAAAACACACTTTATATGCGTGAATTTAAGTATTAACTTTTATTTATTGAAGGCTGTATGTTGGTGCAAAGACTAGTGCTATTTATATGGAATAAAAATATCGAATGAAAAGTGAGATATCTTTTAATTCCAGACTCGCAAACTATTAGTATAATTTATTTCATACTTTTAAATAAAAAGAAAATGTGATTTCTTATTAATTTGCGCTGAAAATAATGAATATGCGTTTTTTTTCTCTTTCATTTTCTCTCATTCATACGGATTCTCTAGGAGATTTTGAGTTGCAAGTTAAACTATATGTTTTTGTAAGAACTCAATTTGAAACAAGACTGGATACTAAGGTGATCAATTTTTTTACAATGAAAAGGAGAACAAGAAAAGTTAAGAAAAAAGTACAGCGTAAATAAATGAAACATTTTATTAATTCAAACAAAAAAATACACTAATTATGCTTACATCTCCTTTAATTATTTAATTAAACGAGTA